GACTGAAGATCTAAAATGCTTTTAAAGCTGCAGCTAACCAGACCCAACTAAGATCTCTTCTTTTGGAAGGATGGCACTTTTGTGTGTGCTTGCATGCGTGTGTGTGTGTGTATGTGTGTGTACGTGTGTACGTGTGTGTGCATGTGTATATGTGTGTACGCGTGTATGTGTATGTGTGTGTACATGTGTGTATCTCTGTGTATGTGTACGTGTATTTGTATGTGTGTTTGTGTGTGTACGTGTCTGTGTGTATGTATGTGTATATGTGTGTACATGTTTGTACATGTGTGTGTATGTGTGTAGTGTGTGTACGTGTGTATATGTGTGTATGTGTGTGTATGTGTAGTGTATGTGTGTGTATGCGTGTGTATGTGTGTATGTGTGTGTATGTGTGTGTATGTGTATGTGTGTGTAGTTTATGTGTCTATTTGTGTGTATGTGTAAGTGTGTATATGTGTGTACGTGTGTGTATATGTGTGTGTACGTGTTTGTATCTGTGTGTATGTGTACGTGTATTTGTATGTGTGTGTATTTGTGTGTGTACGTGTCTGTGTGTATTTATGTGTATACGTGTGTGTACATGTTTGTACATTGTGTATGTGTGTAGTGTATGTGTGTATATGTGTGTATGTGTGGTGTACGTGTGTGTATGCATGTGTATATGTGTGTATGTGTATTTGTGTGTACGTGTGTATGTGTGTGTGTACGCGTGTGTAGGTGTATGTGTGTATGTGTGTATGTGTATTTGTGTGTGTATGTGTGTGTGTGTGTGTGTGTGTGTGTGTGGTGAGGGGTCACTTCTCTCTCCTGGCTGTCAGTCACATCTTTGGTGTGGGGGCAGAAAGAGGACTGGATAGTTGAGGACTTTTGTCCTCCCATATCCTCACCCTGGACGAAGTGCTTCGAATGAAAATCTTAAAAGCCTTCTTTGTTTTTGCTTCTGCCCCACCTCCCAGCCCAATCCGTTCCCTCGCCTCTAAGTTGATGACAAGATGCAGTTCTCATTTTCACACTGATTCTCAACATGGCTGGGGTGCTTTTCAGCCTCCTGCAGACACTGAGGCCCAGAGTGGGACAGGCTCTTGCCCGAGGTCACACAGCATGTGACTGGCAGGGTCACAGTTTGACCCACGTCTCCTAGCCCCACTGCTGTCCCATGGCTGAATCAGCTCAGCATCCAGGGGCTGAAAGCTACTGCTTGCCAAGTCCTGTGGGGCCATGATAGGGATTGACAGGGGCTCTGCCCTTGGTCTAGTAGGGGAGACTGACAAGTCAATGCCTTCCATCAGTCTGCTCAACACCCACTAAACAAGGGCCTTCTGTGTGCTGCAGAGGTAAAGATGCAGCAGCCTCAGACACGTTGCCTGAGCTCACAGTGACTGCTGGCACAGTGCACTATGGGGCAGCATGCTTGGCAGGGTACAGGAGACACTGAGAAGGTACCTGCATAGTGCCAGATACAGGCATGAACCCCACAGGCCTGCGCAGCTTCTCAGCAGAGAGGAGGCTAAGTAAAAGGCTGCAGACATTTGACATCCAGAGCCAGGCTTTGGCATCACACCAGCCTTGATTCAAATCTCACCCAGCCCCTTACCAGCTTGTCTAACTTTGGGTGAATCCCTTCACCTGAGCCACTGAGCCTCCATCCTCTATCTGAAAGCCTGGCACAATAATGGGAACAGTCATTTCAGGACCAAATTAGATCTTGAAGTATTTAAGCAATGCTAAAGACAGAAACTCCCTGAGGTGTGGGCAGGTGAAGGAGCCTCTTGGGGTTACTGAGGCATCTAGAGTCTAGCTGTGGCAGGAAGTGTTACCACCTCTAGATCAGAAGTGTAAGGAGTGGAAATTGTTTTCCCTCTGTCTAGCAGGAGCTGGCAGCATGGAGGAGAGGCTGTCCACAGGGTGTCGCCCAGAGTTTGACAGTGGTGGCCCCTGTAAACAGCAGGGAGGGAATGGAGCAGATGCATTGTCATCCCCCAAACTCCTGCTGGTGCCTCACACTGGCTGAGCACAGCTGGAAGCTGCTGGGAGGGCCCCTGGTGCCTCAGTCTGCGGGGTCAGTCTCCTAGCACTGAGCAGAGAAGAGAAGGTGGAAAATGGATCTGGGGACACACAGAATTGCCAGTGCTGTCACATCAAGATTTGGTCATGGAGTCAAGAGCCTGAGTTTCACTCCTTGTCCAGCCTTCCCAGGGCCTTGGCACTGGCTGGCTCCCCAGATGATATGCCAAGTTCAAAATCCTTCCTAAAACAACTGGCTGTGCAGATATCTGAAAGTTCTGTGCTCCCATCCTGATCAAGGTGTCAGAAAACCCCGGGTCCTAGTCTGTCATCCAGTCCCCAAGAGGAAATCTGCCAGGACAAGGTAGGAGGAAGCTGCGCTGAGATGTCAGGATGCGTTTGATCAGGTGGGGCTAAAGCTGTGGCAGTGTTTGCTTCTCTGCTGGGAAACAGCTTGAGAAGAGTCTCCCAGCCTCTATGGCTTCTGCAGGCCATGAAATTTCCCCATGTCATGTAGGGCAAGTAGATTTAGCTCAGCTGATGTGGGGCAGGGCATGGCTGGGGGTTGTACTAGGGATCTGCCCAGTATCATGCAGGATCATCCGCTACAGAGATCATCCACTGCAGGTTCCAGGGGATACTCTGGGCAAAGACTCCTCTGTGCTCTGCTCCTCACCATCTGAGCTAAATTCACTTGCTGTGTCTTGGCCTCTGCTCCCTGTCTTGGTCCCTATCTCACAGTTCTAAAGAACTCAGCATATTCTACTGACCACTTCTTTTCTGTCCCATCCCCACACCCTGCAGCCCTGCTCCCTGCCTTCCTGTGGCCTCATGAATGCAGAAGATCTTACCTGGTCTTCTATTCCACTTTCCAAAAGTTCTTGTTTGCCTCTTCTCCCCACATGGAAGGGCCCAGTGGCCACACTTGCTTTTGGGAGAGGGTACCTCTCTGGGGCAGAGGGACCCCAGGTGGTTGTGACTACCAATGCTCTGCAGACAGGACTGGATCCCTTAATGGACAGACACATCCCTGCCTGGGCTGCCTCCCTACATGCCTTGTCTCCTGTCTCTCCTGCTCCATTTGCCTTCAGGGTGGTTAAGGCTTTCTGGGGCTCCCTGCATGGACCAATCTGTGTGTGCCTTCCAGGCCTTTCCTCCGACCATTCTCTGCCTGGTGTGCCCTGGTTATGGACAGGGATGAAGAGAGGGAAGGAGGGAAAGAGGGAGGAGAGGACAAGGACATTCGCCTTTCCTGCCTGGTCCTCAGAGGTGGCATTTACTGAGTCAGGAATGACTGAGAATAAAGCCGCTCTGAGGAGATCAGGAGTTCTAGGTGGACCATATTGAGTTTCAGATGCTCAAGGTGTGAGTTCTGGAGCTCACTAGAGACAATGCCGCATGGTGCCAGGACTCACATCTCAGGGTGAGCTCAGTCTCCATTCCTTCCAGTGCTTGTGGGGTTTCAGAAAGCCACTTCCCTTTCTGAGCCTCAACTTCCTCAGCTATAAAATGGGCACAGTTACCCCATCCTGTCCTTCTCACTGGTCGTTTTGGGATTCCAATGAGGTGAAGAAGGTATGATCCTTTTACAACTGCAAGGCTGGAAAGCTTCTGAGCTCCTGTCACTGACAGATCAGAGCTCGTGGTTAGGGGTGTAGAGAGGGTGTGTGTTGTGGGCCATCATCCAACAAAGGTTTTGGCAACAGAGGTATAGGGTCTGGCCAGTAGGAGGTGCTAACCCCGTCTAGGCAGCCAGTGGAGAGGTTAGATGGTTTCTGAAGGAAGAACCTGCCTCTCCCCACCCCAGGCCAGGCTTCTCTAGTGGAATCCCAGAGACCCCAGCCTTCTACTCCAGCACCTCGGAGACCTCCCAGAGCTGGTCAATGTCACAAATGGGGAGACACTGGGCAGAGAGGCACTAATCCAAGCAGGAGAGTGAGAAGGCCATGCCCTCCAAAGTCATTTCCCAGTACTGCTCTTACTAAGTACCACACACTCAGGAGCAACAGAAGCTGATTCTCTGTAGTGCTAGAGGCCAGAGCCCGAAATCAAAGGGTCACAAGGGCTGTGCTCTTCCTGGCCCTCAAGGGAAGATTCCTCCTTGCCTCTCCCACCTTCTGGTGGCTGCAAGGCTCCTGTCTCAGCTTCCAGCTTCACATAATCTGCTATGTGTGTGTCGCTCTCCTTTTCATTGTCTCATAAGGACACTTGTCATTGGATTTAGGGCTCATTGGATACTTCAGGATAGTCTCATCTGGGGATTCTTAATCAAACCTGCAAAGACTCTTTTCCAAATAAGGTCACAGACCCAGGGTCTGAGGGTCAGGATGTGAGCATATCTCTCGGGCAGCCACCATTCTATGGCTTGCGGGAAGCAGAGGGTGTGGGATGAACAGGTGTGGAGCCCCTTCTGGAGTCATATCAATGGCTTGGCTGGCGAATGCCCTCTCTAAGCTTCTGGGCTGACCTGGAGCAGGGTGGCAGGGCAGGCTGGCAGCCCCCAGGCAGCTTCTCTAGGTGTGGAGAGGCCACACCGCACAGGGTGACAAGCATGGGCTCTGGAGCTGCCTGTCACTCTCAAACCCGGACTCAGTGCTCTTGTATGAGCTATTGGCCCTCTCTGAGCCTCAGGTTCCCATGCAAATGGAAGGTAATTACAGCTTCCATTGGGTAGTGGGGTTTGGAGGGTTATGTGATCTGTTGCTGTAGTAGCATTTATCTGTATCTTTCTATTGAAAGTAAGGTGCTATGATTTCAACCCTTCTTTCTTCCTTTCTCTTGTTGAACCTTAATTTCCTAAGCACCCCTGTGTGGCAGGCACCATATTAGGTACTGGGGATACCAAGGTGAATGAGACAGATTCTGTCTCTGTCACTCCTGCCTTATTTGGCCCAGTGTCTGGTCACGTCTTCTGTCACTCAGAGGCAAAGGGGGTGTGGCCTGAGACCTTATCCAATCAGTATCGCCGAGATGGGTTCTGACCAATCAGGCTCACACATGGAGAGGACTAACGGCTTCAGGCATATGCCTGGGCAGTCCCCTCTCGCTGTGCCCGGATGTGCAGGTCCCATCGTCACTGCTGTGTCCTCGCTCCTTCAGGCCCAGCCTATGTGGCCCTGTGACCCGCAGGTATTGGGAGATCCATGCGTAAGATGCCAAGGCCTCCTGGAAGCCTAGAAATGGTGAGTTAGCAGGGCATGGTGTCCTAGGAGGGGGCAGGGATGGCTAGAAGTGATTGAAACCGCCTGATGCAGGACCCGGGTTCCCTCAGGCCTCAAGATGGCGGCTGGGCCCACACTGGGACCAGCATCCCGCGTCCCGCGTCCTGTCCCGACCTTGCACGGCGATGTCGCCCTGTCCACAGCCCTTTCTTGCCAGGAGGGCGAGGGTGGGCCAGAGTGTCCCTGGGAGAGCTTCGCCTTGGGATGTGGGGTCCTGCGAAGGGAGCTGTTGTCCAGGGTCCCTTGTCCCTTCTTTCCCTCGTTAAACCTTAAAGGACATCACCACAAAAGTATTAAAGAACTTATTATAGCAATGAGCGGTTCTAGAATCGTCCAGCACCGAGCATGGCTTGTCCAATCAGCTGTCCAGCCAGGTGCACAGGCAGAGAGGACTAGCGCCTTAGGGCATGTGTCCCGGCCTTCGCCTCTCACTGTGCCGGGATCTCCAGGTCCCGTCTTCACTGCTGTGTCCTCTGCTCCTTCAGGCCCAGACTCTGTGGTCCTGTGTTGGAGGTCACAGGAGGGGCTTGAAGGAGAAGGCTTTATAAGGTGCATGAAGATGGAAATACAATTCAGTAATTGATTGGAAACAGTTATGTAGTTGTCTTATCTATACAACTGAGGTGGAAATTTTCTGGTTATGTAATCAGAGGTTAATTGGTGGTTTGTGGTGGGTTAAGCCTGAATTTTGTTTCCCTCTGGTCAGTGGAAGGTGCTAAACCCATCTAGGCAGCCAGTGGACAGGGAGGGGTTAGATGGGCTCTGAAGGAAGAATCTGTCCCACCCCATCCCAGGCCAGGCTTCTCTAGTGGAATTCCAGAGACCCCAACCTTCCACTTCAGCACCTCGGGGACCTCCCAGAGCTGGTCAGTGTCACAAATGGGGAGACACTGGGCAGAGAGGCCCCAGTCCAAAGTGCGGTTCAAGAATCATCCAGCAGTTGCATGTGGAAGTAATTTACAAGAAATACATTTGAGTTAGATTCTGTTTTTTAACTATAGGAACACAGGGCACTAGAAGCTACCTCAGTCTAATTGCCTGCCATTTAATTATTGTAATGCTCCCCAGGGGACTGGTTTTCCCTTTCATTTTCCAAATGTGTCTCAAGCAGGGTCTCAAGTCCAATCCCCTGTACCCCCAGTCTAACTCTGGATTACAATAACATACAAAATTTCCAGATCCTTCTGACATTCCCAGATGCCAATTTCCCCTCTGTGATTAACAAGATTATCAACTGTGTGTCTTTTATTGTACATTTCAGACACAGTATTTTAATTATTTTTTTACAAAGTATTAGATGGAACTTTGTAAAATATTTGTTTTCTGTTTGTAAACATTTCACAGAAAAGCAGAGAATAATCCCCTGATACTACCATAAACAAATCTCTGTGCCTCTCCTTTTATCTTCCTTAGGTGCAGACTTCTTATCAGAAAGCCTTTGGGTTGAGGTTTTCCTTTGAAAACTTGACAGGATGATGTGTTCTCAGCCCCCTCCTGTATTTTCCTGGTTCTGGGCTTCAGTACTATCTGGGGATGGCGTGTGTAGTGCATATCAACCCCTGGGTTATTTCCTCACAGGGAACAACCTGGGAGGTATGGAGTGCAGCATCTCAAGGGAGCAGGTGGAGGCTCTGGGGCTGAGAGGAGTCTCCTGGTATATGATACCTCCAAAAAGCTAACCCCTCAGGACATTCAGTCTTCACTGAACCCAGCTTCCATTTGGTGGAGACACATTGTTGGCCAGCCAATCAAGTGCTGGTTTTCAGGGAAAAAGAGAAAAATGATTCCTGCCTTCTGGATTCTCTTAGCTTTCTGAAAGGAAAAAAAGTATCTCAAAGGACAAGGAAAACCCATCCTAATGAGATGGTGCAAGAACCTGCAAAGTAAAAAGCACCTGGGTCTTTCATCCACTGGGTGTGTGTCCTGGGAGGGTGGTCACTGCGCACATCAGTGAGCAGGATGGGGATGGGAGGATCTCTCAGTTATTGGATGACCTGACTTCACATGTTAGACATATTTGTGTTGCAGTCAGCACTACCATCACCTGGTTTTGTCACCTTGAAAGAATTTGCTCACTTATTTCAACATCAGTTTTAAAACTGTAAATTGCATTTTATTGGTAGAACTTGAAAGGGAAGACAACATTTACAAAGGGCTAAAAGAGGCGAATTCAAGAAAACATTACATACCTAGTCAGGTGTTCCAATTGTTAAAAAAGTCTGATTTACCTATTTTCTTTTCTAGAGATAGTTTAGGAAGTGTCTCAGTCTGTTCTTTCTTGGGGGGTGATTTCAAATAAAATCCCAGGGCTTAGTTTTGGGAATGATACCGAGGAAAAGAATAGTGAAAATCCCTCCTCCATTAAGACTGTATGACTTGAATACATTTCCGTAAGAAAATGTGGTAGATTAATTGATGAATGGCATAAATTCATTAAAACATCAGTTCCTTTTTGCAGTGTGAATTTGTGACAGTAGATATCTCTGTCCTATGTCTGTTATCTTAATTTCTGAGCTTAATGCTAAATTTTATTAGATGGACTTGACACCTCCTATAAGTGTCCCTGTGTGACTCATTGTTTTCTAAATGAGTTGTTGTGGAATAATTATATGTGGATTGTCTGAAAGGGATAAATGCTTCTGCTTTTCTTGTGGAGGTAAGAAATGTAAGCGCATTAAAATCCCTTACATATAAACACTGTGTTTAAGTGATTCTGCTGAATTTTTCAAACACTGGATATTTTCTTATTTAAAATTAAATGAAGCCTAACTGGGAAGTTGGAGTCTGATGACCTCAAGCTAAGGCCAATATTGAGTTTGCAATAGGAGGTCATTGGAGGCCCAGTTAGTTCTTCCTGGGGAGCCTCCACTGTAAGTGTCCCAACCTGGTCCTCCAACCATGGAAGAGGGCATTAAACTGAGAGAAGCTAGAGAGGTCTGGGAAACTAGGTATCCAGAGGCAGATGCATTCGGGTTTGGGGTGGAAGGGGATTGAAAGGGTTGTTCTGAGGGTGGACTTGTTATTTTTCTTGGGCTGTTTCTAGACTTTGCCCAATAAAACAAAGTCAGGATTAGGTAAGAAGTTATTTTCAAAGGAGTATTTCAACAGGGGGAAATGCCAACTGTAAGGTATTCGAAGATCTCAAAGGTTAGGCAGACAAGGGCTTTCCTTCACAGGGAAGAACAGACAAGATTAGAATGAAGATTGGAGGGGAAAGTAAGGAGGTAGGATGGCAAAATAGATTCCAGATCAGAGAATGTTTCACCCTAAAGTCAGTGTGTTCTTAGAATGGACATGCAGTGAGGTTGTGTGTTGACTCAGACTGAGGGCAGGACCTTGGGGAGGTTGAGGAACTTAAACAAGTTCAGTGATCTTGGGGAGGGAGAGGAACTTAAACAATATTTATATAAGAAGCATTTGTTTTCACCACTGAAGACAAAATTGTTCAACTGATTCTTTATGAGAAGAAAGATGTAAATTTGCAGAATGTGTGTGTGGCTATGTGACAGGTAAAAAGGGAGAATCATCTAAGTCATAACTGGAGGGGTGTTGTGTTTCTTTTTATTAAGCTGTTCCTGGAGGGCACAATGGATGGGAATGCCATTAATCACAGCTGTTGGCCAGGATTACCTAGGAGCCCCATCTTTCCCCACCACTTTTCTTTGTCCTGTACATCTCTTCCTTTTGTCTCTTCCTAAGTCGTGTCTCTTAATATAAACTGGTATACATAAAGGCAGTGTCTCTCTGAGTTCTGTGAAAAGCTCGATCAAATTATTGAACTGGAAAGGGGATTATGGGAGTTTCCAATTTAGAGGCATTAGCTCAGATATATAGATGGGCCCTCAGGGCTTGTGACTGGTATCTATAGTAAGGGCATTGTGAGGGACTGAGCCCTGAAGTTGGGGCCTATGCTGCCTCTGGATGTTGTCAGAATTGAAATGTAGATGCGAAGTTGGTGTTGGAGAATTGCTTGGTGTTCAGCAAACTCCATAGATTTGGTGTTAGAAGAGCATCAAAGGGGCCTGGGCTTGAGACTCTGGGTGTCTGGGGAAGGGCAGCTCTGCTCTTCTGCACACAGCCTGTCATAAGCACATGATTCTGTATTTGTGGGTCTCCTCCCAGGGAGAGAGGGGACTGAGAACTTAGAGGAAAGGAGTGCTGAGAACAGGTCCTCTCCTCCCACAGCTGCAGTTGCATGATTCCGCCCACTAGGGAACATCCCACTGTGTCTTTTAAAATAGACACACATTTGTTTAGAATAAAGCTCATTTTAAAAGCAGAAAAAACTAGGATTAAATTCAGCAATAAAGAGTGATGATGAGTAAAAGATACTGAGTATCTTTTCTTTGATAGAAAACTGATATCTAATGTGATGACCTAATATTTGGAGGCTGTAGTACTTACATTGCAAAAGCAAGAACAGTCTAGTGCATGAACCAAACAGTGGAATGTGCAGCCGTACCTTACTTTCTGTTTATTTTTTATTTTATTTTTTTTTTTGAGACGGAGTTTCGCTCTTGTTACCCAGGCTGGAGTGCAATGGCGCGATCTCGGCTCACCGCAACCTCCGCCTCCTGGGTTCAGGCAATTCTCCTGCCTCAGCCTCCTGAGTAGCTGGGATTACAGGCACGCACCACCGTGCCCAGCTAATTTTTTGTAATTTTAGTAGAGACGGGGTTTCACCATGTTGACCAAGATGGTCTCGATCTGTTGACCTCGTGATCCACCCGCCTCGGCCTCCCAAAGTGCTGGGATTACAGGCTTGAGCCACCGCGCCCGGCCACTTTCTGTTTATTATGTAAGAACAGTTAGCATAGTTGTGTGTAGTCTTTAGTAGACAACTGCATCCGTGTCAACAGTATCACATACAAAAGTGTGAATATAAGGTCACAATATTTATTTTGGAGAAACTCCTGAAGTAGTAATTTCAATATCAATATTATTTGCTATTTTGAAATATG